ATGAAAATATGCATTCAGGAACGCAAAATTGTTATTTTACTGAAAAACAATGTTTCAAGTAACTAATCTTTGTTAGGTTTGATATGAGAATAAATTACCACTGAATGATTAAAAAAATGTATCCTTAATAAACAATGCATAAAAAACACTAGAGAGAAATATTAAATTAAAATCATGTGATACAACATAACATGTTTTACAAGCATGGGTGGGAAACATTGTTGGAAGAAATAATTCGATGAATTACATACAAGAAAGATGAGGAAAAAAGGGAGTAGAAAGAGGAAAGCATTGCTGGTAAATCTGAGAAATAGGGGAGCATACGCTGAGATAAAGAAAAAGAAAGGTAGAGGAGGTTGGAGGAGGATTTGTTGAGCTAAAAACTTGCCCTTGAGCAAATAACTCAATAATAATTTCTAATATTTAAATTGTTTTTAAATGCTACTGTATATTCTTCTTATTGAAAATACATGTTGGGCTATTAACAAGTTACATATTTTAAGTTATTATCACCTTAGCAAAACGTATAGAATTTTAAAATTCACGATCAAGGAACATTAAATCGCAGTATAAAAAAGCAAAAAAATTAATTGCTATTACCAAGTTGATAAATCAGGTAGAATTGCTAGCTCCTAAATGCCCGAGATGTTTGGCAACCTCTAAACATACATATGAATACAATGTATCTGCATCAAAATTCAAAAAATCACCTCTTTTATGTTTCAAACCCTTTTATAAAATACGTGAGCTTAAATACAGACAACTAAATCATCTCTTAACATAGATACTTACTACTGTCTCTTGGGAAGGTTTATATACAAAAGATTCTGGAAAATGTCCTTTCAGACCTTGAAACTCACCATACAACCAGTCCTTATTAATACGGGCTCTAACCTCGATTTTATCACCTTTCTATAAAAGTAGAAATTAATCAATTTTCATTTGTCTTACCCTCTTAATGAAGAACCTACATATATAATGAAGGTGTAGAATACATAACTTTTGCATACCTAGAACAGTTTGATACTTAACTTTATCCAATTCCAAGTAACAAGACATACCATCCCTTCCTATCTAGGGTTACCAGATTTCAAGAATGAAAAACTGGAACATTTTTTTTCATACAGAGTAACACTGTTATAATTTTGAAACAGTTTATATTACAGCATAAATTACAATAACACACCTTTTTACCATTTGTTAAATATTATGATGTTCACTGTAGTGCACTGTACATCCATAGACAAACAAAATATGTTAAAAGCTTATCAAGTTAAAAATGAATAAAAAAAAATACAAATGCACCTGAGTGTTTTGAGCCTACTCAAAAGAAATATGTTGCTACTTCATTTTCTTTTTCAACACTAGGCAAATCTTGTAGCTGCCTCATAACAGGTTAGGTTAATCAAACTTAGCAGAGAGAAAGGGAACACTACTGTGTAACCTGTCTTTGTCAGGTGAGTGATTCTCCACATACAGTTTAAAGGAGTCAAGAACAATGACAAACTATACTCTGAGGCACAGAGAAAGTGGCCCAATTTAATACTTTTACTGTTCCTGACTTGGACAAAAAAAATAAGGTTAAAAAGTGGATGTCCTGTAACCTTATTTCTATCACAAACTCTTGATGACTGAGAGTCTATCACAACAATTTTCCAAACAGGATCAAATCAGATTGTGAACATCTTTTATAGTGTGAAAGAATTAATAAATTCTACCTGCAATACTTCAAGATTAATCAGATATTTCACCACCAATTTCAAAATGAAAGATTTAAGTTACCAAGAAACAAGTTATCACTGAGAAAATAGCAAATTGTATTATGAAATATGATATAACAATAATTCCAGATAAAAGCAAATATATTTATATACACACAAACATTAATCCAAATCTTGACCAGATCTAAAATGTAAAATTTATTCAGAAGTTACAGGAGAAATATTCTTTTTGATTTGGCCAAATAACTTTAAGTGATCACTCAAGTGAAAGCAATAACTAGTATACTCCCTTCTAGATCTAGCTAGACATTTAATATTTTTATTTACAATTTATAAATGTTTATAAAATGTCTTTATGTTATTAGTCCTCACCTTGGATGACTCAAAACAACAATGGAATGACTGTATTAACTTTCAATATTTCAGTAATTTTATATATCTACTTGCAGGTATTTTTTATTTAGTCAGAAAACAAAAAACCAAGACTGATAATACAAATTTATGTTGTTTGCAATCCTAAAAGCTGTAATAGTTAGGAGAGTCAAAATATGGATTTGTAGCTTGAGGAAATAATGTCGACACTATGTTTCAAACCTTAAGCTTATTTTTTTGATTAATTTTTTTTGGCAATTGCATTTTCACTTGTTTCTGTATTTTTTGAAGATCCCTATTCCCCCCCTTTTTAAAATTAAAAATTTTTAATAATCTTGTTTGTTGAGTTTTTTTTTAATGTCCATCATGGACATAAATGTGTATAATAGCAATACTGTTCTAATTGAAATAGTTTAGTTTAATGAAATACATAGTTGATGTATAATGCTCTCTTAGGAAACAATGACAACCTTTGGATTGGCTTCATACAGATTGGATAGCTATTGCTCCCAATATCATTGCCACAATGTTATCATTGATAGTAGTACTGCATATAAGACCACCATGATGCATGGTGATCAACATACCACAATGTTATCATTGATAGCAGTACTGCATATAAGACCACTGTGATGCATGGTGATCAACATACCACATGTTATGTATATGCTTGTAAAATATATATAGCTACTAAACTTATACCCTGTAGCTATATAAGGAGTCTGTAAACACTAGATTAGAGGGACTACTGAACTATACTGGAGTGGTGCATGGACTGGATTTTGTAACTGCATGAATTTTATACATGCATGCACATGAAATGCATGTTGGCTAGTATTTATATCACTATATATATATTTCTGATGGAGTTTGTGTTGTGACACTTCTATGACCCTCTTCCAATGTGATGATCGTAAACTCTGGTGGGCTGTCACTGCTGCATATATTATCTGAAACTAAATATTTTTAACTAAAATACACAGTGAATATATTTCTGCCTCACTTTTGCCTAGAATCACCATCATTTTTGCCATGTCTTCTTGCATGATTCTTATGACTCCTTATAGTTAGCTTCAAGGATGGCTGCTCCATCTGCAGTATCTACAAAATTCTCAATCAAGCAGTGCTGGCTATAATTCGACTTTTACCATCAGCCATCGCAATGATTGCTGATGCAATGCTTGAAACTGAGCATGGTGCTAACTTTTAAACTATGGCTTAAAGATTTCTGTTGTGGAAGACAGCCTAGATGTTTGTATAATGTTTTTAGGCACTTATGTAACATGTCTGAAATTGATCATGCAGTGGTAGAAAACTGTAATCTTGTCAACAGCGTCATGTCCGAAAGGGCAGGAACCATATACATAAACAAATTACATACAACTTCAATACCACTGGAAGAATAAGTGAATAATCACAATGGCCTGTCATATAAATATTAAATTACATCCATAGCTTGCATGCAGCTATATACACATATAGTAGATTATGAGGCTCCATATAAGCCACACACTACATTAAAACGACTGGGTATGAATGATTATATGCTGTTATTTGCTAAGTAGTCAAATAAACTTAAAAACTACCTTACACAATGCACCATGATGCACTTAGTAATACTGCCCAGGTTTTATTACAATACTAACAGGCTATTTTTGCTGTAGACTGGTGGGACAATATTAAGTAATAAATGGGAATTTCCTATCATGAACCACTACCATAGTTAACAAATTTTATGTTAGTTCACTGTTCTCTAAAAACTTCAAATATTTAAATTCACGTAAATAATAAAAACATTGGAATGTTGTATAAATGTGTACGAAAAATGTATCCATAAAACTAGTGGTTGAAACTTGTGTAATTAAGGATAACTTGAAAGTTACATCAATATTAACATTTCTTCTTATAAGCGCTATAAACTAGATTTTGCAACATTTAGCTTTTTTTTCCTTTTTTTAGTATTTAAGCACACATAAAATAATACTTACTTTAAAGGTCAAATCTCTCTCATCTTCTCTTTTATAGTCATACAGTGCCACAACTGTGCATGTTGTAGATCCTGTATATGAATTGAAAAGCACAAGTCACACTACATATAACATATGATTAAAACCTAATATTCATTATCTCTATATTCTAAATAAAAATAATCATCTGGTTGGAACACTGCACTTCTTTATCATATCTAAAAACTGAATTACATAGTTCTATCTACAACTGCTACTACCCTACATCCATTTTATCACCATCAAACTGCTTTGGTACTGCAACTAAAACTATTGTTCATAATGCAATATAATCTTATTTACCTTTCAGAAAAGGTTTTCAAATTCATGGAACACTATATATATCTTTAGAAGTGCTTCACTGTGGTAAAACTTACAACAGTAGCATTAAAAACCCACATGTGAATCACACAAGTAACAATATATTCAGTTTAACAAAATATAGAATAGGTATAAAATTCAAGGCTTTCTTTTACAAAATTAAAAGGAGAAATCAGTTTTCCAGATTATATGAGAACTGTTCATAACACCATGTTATAATGATTACCTGCATCATGCTATATTAATTTAACTAACAAGAAACAAAACTTCACTATTTGTACAGTTTATAAGAAAACAAATAAGATGAATACCTTCTGTACTATTAACATCTGTACTCATGAAATCATCAGTACCTTCCATCACTACGTATGATGATGGAAAAATACCTTGTTGATCACCAAGATAACCCATCCACCATTCTTCATTTATTTTCTCTTCAAATAAGATCACATCCCCTTCTTTGAATGTTAATTCATCAGGGCTTTCACCTTTGAAGCTATAAAGGGTTTTACACTTTCTCAATCTATCTAAATTTCCTGTATTTCCAGGCTATGGTAAAAACATAAATTTTGTTGATAACATTGTTATAATATAAAACTCACATTTTTTAGACATTATTATATCTCTACACAGATGCTTTAGACACTCAAAAAATTAATAAATGATATAACAGATCTCCACATCTTTAAACAACTATACATATTTTCTATCATAAACAATTAATATCAAAACCTGTGCTCTATTAAGGAAATATGCATCTGCACATCTGCAATCATACAGCTGAAGCTCATACAGTATAGTTACAATTTATTTTAATTCTAGCTTTGTTACACTGCATTTTTTTTATGTTTAAGAGGAGAATACTACAACTGAAAATAAAAGATAATGTTTATACATTTACGTATTATAGTTGTTTACAATATGTATCAATTCTACCATGAGGTGCCCATTCCAGACTGAGCAAGGAAACCCAATATCATGGCAGAAACAAACTCTAACATATCAAAAAATACAATAGGTGAATGAGACATAGATGTAGATGTTCATTCACATTAGTTTTTAAGGCCAATGATGAGGTTCATGCAGTTTCCATAAAGAGATTTGGTTTGAATTTTGCACAAAGCTACATGAGAGCTATCTGCACTAGCCATCTCTAATTTAGCAATGAAAGACTAGAAGGAAAGCAGCTAGTCATTACCATCCACCTCCAACTCTTGGACTACTCTTTTACCAATGACTAGTGGGACTGACCATCACATTATAATGCCTCATGGTTGAAAGGATGAGCATGTTTGGTGGGATGGGGATTCAAACCCATGACCATTTGAATCGAGTACCCTAACCACCTGGCCATGCCAAGCCCCATAAAGAGAAGTCTGTTAAGTAACAGAAAAAAGTCAAACTCATTTGTTAACTTGATAGAAAAATACAGAAATTCAGGATTATGAATATACAAATTATACTTAATATACACCAAGGGGATTAACAAGATACTAATAAATAATAGTAATACAAACATATACAAAATCAGGTGACCATAAAACTTAACTTTACACCCACTACCTATGTAACAGTTTTTAGATCATTAGGAAAAACCTTAGAGAAACAGTTGCAGAAGGTAAATGAACAAAATGAAGTATATCTATTAACAAACTTAAATTAAAAGAACGGTGTCTCATTATAAAAAAAGTTAAAAATTCCACCTTAGATTTAATCACTTGTCCACTACTCAAGCAAAAAAATACATAAAAATAAACAAAAACTAAAGGAATATTTGGTTATAAACAACTCTCCCAGTGTCAGGTTTATTTTTAGATACACTTTGTATTAATTTATTATGTAACTGAAACTGGTGACCTTTATAAAGTTTGAATGGGGATTATTTTCTTCGTGGCAATACAAAATTCCAAACTTCCATGGCAGTGAAAGATTTAATGGAAGAACTTTACATATAATCTTAGATGGTAATTCATTCAAAGTGAAAGGATAAAATTATTGTAGAATATAAATCTTGAGTACTTTATATACAAAACACACGTTGGAGCAGTTGACTGCACACACATGAACATGTATTAACATAATGCATAATTATATTGTTTCAGTGTTCTTGAAAGAAAGATTAAGTAAATTAATAGATGTTTAATGTTTTTTAACTTATATATGTATCCCAAATGCATATACAATAGAAAAAAAGAGAAATAATACAAAAAAATACTGTGCACATTTCAAATGTACATTTAATTGTATTTCAAGCTCTTATTTCTAAATTTCACAGATATGTATATAACAAAGCTAACACTTTCCTTACCTGAAAACGTACAATACTAAAAAGTATTACCTTGCATATAACTGCTATGGAACTTCCTGTGCATGCCACGGACCACGAAAAACTCTCACCCCTACAAATATCTACATGTATTGCATCAGCCTAGGATGTAATTATCATAATGCTGTAGCCCTCCACCAAACTGAGGGTGATAAGACCTCCATATGCAGCAATCCCCATGAGCACTAATACATGATCATAGTCTCATCTTTGACAACAACAACTGAAGAAGTTGGCAAGCTCAATAAGACTCAGTCATCTCTTGAAAAATAATATGCAGAGAAGCAAGAGTCCCCAAAAGCAAGAGAACCTCATAAGCAGGAATAAAAGGAGAAAAAGTGCCTTGGGTACCAAGATCACAAAGGTGCAAGGAAGAGAGTTACACTTGCCCCCACATTAGAAACAAGGAAAACTAGATACTAAGAAAGTTTTACCAGCCAGCCCAGACAAGATGCCTCCTGAAGAAGAATGGAGATAATAATTGGAGAATCCCGTTGAAATGGGGCCAGACAACGAGCCTACAGGAGGGGGGGGATGGTGAACAGAAGAAGGGTTAGTCCAATGTGAATCCCAAGGATGGTTAGCAGACAGAGGTAACCATGGAATAGTGAAACAGGAAACCAAGGTAACAATATAAAATAACAGAAAAGTATCCTTAGTCTGGGATCCAGAGGAGTCTGAAACACCCAAAAAAACCTGGTCTGTAAGAAAAGGGGCTAAATAAAAGTCTTGGATATAAGAGAAAAGGATGCAAGCACCCAAAAGGGAAGCAACCCTACTGAGCAGATCCCCCAAAACATGGAAACTACGTCAAAATAGAAACAGTAGAGGAAGAAACAGAAGCCAAAGTGCCAAATAAAGAAGAACAGGTGTCCCCATAAAAGCCATCAAGATCATTATGAAGAGTCTTAGTGAGAAAGTGAAAGGCAGAAATGAAGCTAAGGAGTAGAATAAAGATAAATAAAGATGAGCAAATAACTAGAAAGAAAAGGGCAGAGGAGAAAGAGGAGCATCTCAAGCAGACAGAATGGACATAAGAAATTGTTGTTCAAAAAATATAAAACATATAAATATAAAAATATAAAGTTGAACAAAAAAGATGAGGAACAATGTGGAGTTGGGACAGAAGAAAGCTCATGAAGTAAAAACAATTACAGAGTCATTATGATATAAAGGAAAGAAAAGACAGAGCAGTACAAGCCTGATTTACAAAAAAAAAGAAAGAGGTACCTGTTCTTCATCAGGGATAGAACAGCCAGAAGCAAATGCTGGAGGTAGAGGAACTGGCCAAAATCATCCCCAGCTGAAGCAGACACCACAGAGTGCAATGAAAAAGAACGACAAGGGACCTGAAGTGGAGAAGTAGGCAGAAAGGAACCAACAACCTGATGCGCAATAGCAGGAACATCATCTGTTAACTTGATGTTACACCAAGGTTCATCACAGCTCCAAGATTGTGGTTAAGTTATCCATGATGTTGTTAGTACCTCATCATGGAGTGAAATAAAAGACCTGTCATGTGAAGGTGTGTGCTCTATTAAGTGAACTAAAGCAATAACTTAACATCAGTTTCATTAACACATAAGGTGCCTCCAGTAACTTTTGATTAATTTGGAGAAAATGACTAGGCCTTGAGATGTTTTCTTTTGCTACATTGTTGAAATTAGCATTAAGTACAAATGTGGTGGGTAAAGAAAATGAAGTTACAATCAGATGGATGAAATTAAAATGCAACGTACTGTATAACTAAATACAGGAAGGCAATAGTAGCTCAAAGCAACTAGAAACACAAAAAAGTACAAGGAAAAAACAACACACGTCTGAACACAGTAAGTACCAAGAAAAGAATAAGACTTAAATTTAGTGTGAATAGAGGTTGGGTTGGCCTCATGTTCAGGGAAGGTTGCAACATTAGGATGATTACATCATAGGCTGATTCAATACACACAAACATGTGTAAGGGTAGGAGTTTGTTCAAGACTTGTGGCATGCAAAGGAAATTCCACAGATGTTGCACGAGACAATAACTCTTAGAGGTGCAGAGGGATAGCTTGTGTTTATAAACAAAGAATGTAATGTTAGGTTTTGACAGCCAATTTTACTTTCAATTTTGCATTTTTAATTTAAATTAATTTGAATTCATTTAATTCTGGAAACAAATGTTATTGTGAACCCTTTCCTACTAAATGCAATACAAGATACATAACCATTTCACACTGGTAAGCTGCTCTTCTGATATTTTGGTAGTTTTATGTTATTCTACCGTATAAAACTTGGTAAATGTTTTTAAAAATTTTAGGAATGTAAAATCGGACGTTTTCAAATTTCTTCATTTATCTCTATATAAAGAAGACAAGCACAGAATGTAATATTTACCAGCACTTAAAGTTACATTTTTAATTGGATGATTTAAAGTTCTAAGTAAAAGAAGCTATATTTTTTTAAACATATGTCTGGTACAACATCAGTTTCACAAAAAGACAGTTACCTTAAAGTACCTTTCTGTCATATAAAACATTAATCATTTTCCTGTTAAAAACATATAACTTTGAATACTACAGAAAAAAGCTGTTTACTTAATATAAATATTTACAGAATCATATTTCCTTACCATATTCCCATCAGGAACATTATGAAAAGTGGGTGGAAGGTTTTGAGGTATAGAAAGAGAAGATGTATGATGGAATGCTTTTTCTTCCTTTGTTGAGGTCCTAGTTGAACATACAGTTTTAACTGATGACCTATATATACAGAAAAATATCCTTTACTTCTACAACACATTGTTCATACATTTCTAGCAATTGTAAATAGCTACAATTGAATTTTGAACAATAGATTTTCTCCGAGTAAATTCAGTTTACTTTTGTAAAAAAAAAACAATATGCTTTGGTATTAAATAAAACCTTTCTTTTCCAAGAATTGTTTTCAGCTGGGACAGACTCATCCTTACAGTATATAATGAATTAGCACATTTGTGATGGTATTCACATTAGGTAAGTTAACCAGAAGACAGTTAAAACATTGTTAGTAATAATTTTACAACAACCTGTATTATAAGAAGCTAGTTGGAAAGCAGTACTTCTACTGTATAAGAAACTTTAAAAAAGATTTTAAAGTAAAGGAAAATTATTCTAGTTTTAAATAGCAGCTTTATAAGTTTCAAAACATTTCACTCATGTGCTTGTCAACTGGAATTCTGCTCTGAAGCATCTATATGTGAAATTAACAGGCTGGGAAAAAGAATTCAACTAAAGAAACTTAATTTTAGCATGGACATACCTATTATCTGCTTAATAATGTTGAAAAAGTGATTACTGTTACCAATGGTAATGCATTCATATTCTGCAATTATTTGAAGTGAAACATCATTCTTTAAACAAAACAAAGAATACTTCAAAAGATTTACTGGTAGTATCAATAATTGTTCAGTACAAGTAAAAAAATCAGCAAGTTTACTCTGAAAACTAAGCACCATACATGATGTCAATGTTATGGTATTTCACTTGTTTTATCCCTACTGTTTCATGCCATTTTATTACTCTATTGTATGCTTATTTCATTTTTGTTTAATCAGGAAAACTTATTATCTCATAATTATTATGTAAATAAGCTATGCATTATATTACTATAAAGATAGACCTTATTTTTTCCTACTATAGCTGTTAAAAATCTGCCTGATTTCTCAAGTTGCTTCTTCTTGTTCATTTTGTTGGTACCCCTACTTGATGGAGGTTATAATTTATCAAATTATAAAAATGGATATTTTTTGCTAAATAACAGTGGTATACTATGGATTAGTATCAGTATCATGTTTTTCCCTCTACCCTTCTAATATCAAAAATTACATTCTAGATTTAAGAAAAATCATAAATTCACCACTATTCAGAGCAATCTCATGCTTGGAGAAGAAACTTAGATAAAATTTAACATTTATCAGAAAGATAACTTCAGTAATTAAATTGTACATGTAGTTGAGCTTGCAAACATAGTTTTTTACATAGCATTTCTTAGTCTAAAACCTAGTACATACAGACATGTGTATATATTTATCTCACATCCTGCTTTTTGTTTGTACCGTATTATAGCATAAATGTTTGCAAGTCAGTAGATGTTCATTTAAATGAGTTAATTCCTTCAGTATTGGAAATGATAGAATACTACTGATGGTAGAGTTTCATTACTTATTACTTTAGTACATAGTAAATAAAAGGTTGATTTTGTAATGGTACTTATTGTTAACATTCAAGGTATTCACTGGAAGGTGTGAACTTCTTAACCATAAATAAACCAATTCTGAACCAAAACAAAATAATGCTGTTTATATCTTTATACTAAGTTTCACACCATTTTAAGACATTTCAGTAAATGTCAACTGAATGTAAGGTAGTACATGTACTACCTAAGCAACACACTGTTTAATAAATTGGCTTAAGTATGATTGAAAAGGAACTTTCATGATTTCTAAAATTACACTTGATACACATGTCCTTAAGTTGCACTAAACCATTGTATGATAACTTCTAATTTGCTTATGCTGTCTATAGACTTTAAAGTATATATACTGTGTAACAATATTTTAATGTAATATTATTATGACATTGACAACATACTTCTCATAATGTTAGTGAACATTTCAGTTACAAGTGACATCATTAAAACATTTTAATTCATATTTACACAAGGAAACTTACCAAAAATTTTGAATTTCATGCAAATTATCTAAATATGATCAATATTCACTGAACACTGACCATTAGTTTAAACTACTTATACACAAAAATGCAGGTCACACACACACATGCCTTTGTCAGAATTACTGATCAATAAATATGTTAAAACAAGAGATAAACCCATTAAAGTGTGACATTATGTAGCCTCAAGTTCTAGAAAACATCACAAATGATGTGTAACGATGTTTTTCATTTCCTTTTATTACAAATCTATCAATCATCAAAATTAGGAAAAAACAAAAAATCCTGTCATAAGTACATTAATTACAAGAACTCTACAGCAAATGCCATGGTATGTTCTGAAGATATTCACATAAATAAACCACAAGTTTATACTTTCGATATTTGTTTTCTTTCATTGGTCTTTATTAGCTTGTACACATAAAAGTAGAAAAGAAATTGAATAATGATTATGAAACATTAAATATGTTTTGGTAATGCTCTTCAACTGTACTAATAGGTTTATGAAATGGTTATTGATGGAAATATGTTGAACCATGGAGAGTAAAGAGTAGCAGGCTAAGCTTAAAATTTGTGTAATTTTATTTACTTTCACTTTAATGATGTATTTTAAGGCACAACTTGTAACATTATTGTAGAAGCAACTGATAAGTATAACAATGAAAAAGAACAGATAATTACGTGCTGATCTGCAAGAACCATTTATAACTGCCTTTTTACCTTAATTGCAATTCCTTGCTAATCTGGTAAGTTATGTCTTATTATTTCTTGTAATCATTTTACCACTTCAGTTTTGTTTATGTATTGTTACAGACTTCATTACAGATCTTTAAAGTTGTTTTATCAAGACAAAATATCTGTATTTTTGTTTAAAATAAGGTCCAAAGTGATAAAAAGTTGAAATTATATAAGATACAGGACTTCAGCTCTAGAAAAGATGTCTGAGGTAATTATACATTTGAAAAAATTATATACATGTAAAGCTGTTTTATTGTAGTATAATACAGCAAAAATAATTATTAAAAATTAACAACTGTTCATCAAACACACAAATTTGAAGTCCAATCTATCATTTGACTTTTGCTCTTGTCCTGGGTTACCGATGAGGAGTGGAATTTTCTGAAACTAGTATAACTAAATGATAGATTTTGCTAAATATTTACCTTTTAGTATCTTAAATAGCTTTTTGGCTGAATAATTCACGAGAAAAATTATAAATATCACTCCTGCATCTTTTTTGAAATTCCTATCACTGGATAAATAAAAGACATCTCAAAACACCAAACACATAACTGTTCATCTGTCTACTATTTACGTAAAACAAAAAACTCCTAGCCAAACAAACAAACAAAAAAGGGTTATTTATACATTAACTGTCACAGGTTGGAGTATGAAGCTTAAAAATATTAATGAGAAGACTTGTGAAAGAGACATAGATATACAAAAAAATATATAAAACTAAACTTCAAGTTATAAATATATGTGAAACTCTGAAATAAATGTAAAGAGAAAAAAACACTGAAAGGAGAAACAAAATAGAAATGTCTTACTATAATAATTATAAACAAGTTTGTTCAGATGCTGAGATTTGTAATTAGATGAAAAAACACAATAGCAATACTTATACTGGAACAAAATAGTGATATTTCAGCAACACATAAATGCAGGCATGTTTTAAGTATGACAGTTAATTTATCTTCAAGACAGCTAGAGGTTTATAATAATTTAATGGTACACCGAGCAGAAAAAAAAGTGTAAGCAAAATTAAATATTATTATTATTACATCACCTTTTTTCTTTGGCTTTTGTATCTATTGATGATTGACACATACTACTGGAGTCTTCAAAACTAATAGGAACAGGGGGCCATACACCTTGGTAGGAACTGACATACGAACTTGAAATTTTGGATTCATTTGGCACTTTCTTAGGAATATTAGACACAGGAAAATACTTTTCAAGTTGAGCAACACTGCTATGATTTAAATATGACTCATCATTTTTGTTGTTTGCTGCATAAGGTGATGTACAAGATCCATTAGTGTCTTTAGAAAGACAGGTGGAAGAGCCTGGGGTTAATAAATGTTTTTCTGGGAGTACATTACCTGACTGAAATGGAACTTGCAACTTTGCACTAGCCCCTTCTAATAGTAAATACTCATTAATACTGTATGTATTATTTAAGTCTAACAGGTTTTCTTGACTTTTCTTCTCTTCCTGATTATACACATTGTATGTTTTAGGTTTAGAGTTTAAGCAAGATAAAGCTGACACATCAACTAAAGAAGTTGATCTACAACTGGCACTGACAGACACAAGATGATAATCTGGACTAGACGAAGAGGTGCTTGAGGTTATGCCAACATCAATATTTCTTGGACAGTGATGAGGAGTGTGACCTTTCTTTGAGTAACGAAATGCTGGTTTAGGCACATTTGATGTAACTACTGTATCATTTTGTTTCAAGAAAGATGATCTGTCCAAATTTGTATTGATTTCTTTTTTTGGAGCAAAGATGGCTTCTAACTCAGATAGATAATCATTCTTCTCTGATGTGGCTGGTTTCTGGACAAATAAAATATTTTTTGTAGAAATATATAAGGCCACTTAAAAGAAAAACATAGATGTACCTTAGAAAGTAATATTTAAACCACATTTTCTGTTTCATTTACGTTAGATAACAAAAGCATCTCAAAAATACATTTGATAAGATTTGACTTCACACTTTCTAAATAGCTGACAAATAAATCTTATCTTCTGTATAATTTACTAGGTTTTAATGGCACTCTTTGAACAATTCTGAATAAATATTTGTTTTAAGTTTTCAGATTTAATAATAAACACGTATATTATTTGTTTCAATCTCAGAAATTTATATCCTTTTTGTCATTCTTGCCTATTAACTTTCCTTCATAAAACCTGAGGTTCAAGTACTTTGCAATGATTTGCATTTCTTATCTTTCCTAGTTTTATTTGTGAACAAAAAAAAAAAAGATGCTTGATGAGAGCATACCTGCCAGAGTTGAATAAAATTCATAAATCACCAAACTCTGTCTATAAAATTCTTTTTTGGTTAGTTACTTTGTATGAATATTTTTCTTACATTAAAATAAATTTTTTCCTCAACTTTGAATAAAAAACACTTCTGAAGGATTATACGAAAAGATAAAAAGTTTCCATACTACATGTAGTTTGTTTTATTATATTTTTTTATATGGTGGAATAATGACCAATTCTTTTGTTTTGCTTAATGTCATATTAATTTATTAAGTTTCAACAAATTTTAGTTTCCTGTTTTTAGTATGATTCTGGCAGTTTTAAAAATTTAAATGTTTACTTACATAGATATACTGGAATGAGAAGTACAACCAGTAATACAAAAATAAAAAAAAAGGTTACTGCAAATTTTTGGGCCATAACGTGATTTAATTATCAAGGATATGACTCAAAAATGTTTTTGCTTCTGGTAAATGGAATATTTTACAATAATTTTGTTTTTCTCAGAACTAATAAATAAACATTTTAAAATTAAAGATTCATTCAATTAAAGTATATTTCAACAACCAAACATACAAATTATGTACAAGAAGATTAAGCAATGCCTTTTTATATTTTAAGCAAAACCTTGTAAAAAATCATACAAAATATTTTCATGAAAATAATATTGTTTACTATGAACTTATCTCTTGGGACATGCTCTGTACACTCTAGTGTAGACATGACTTAAGTAAAGTTTTTGCTTATATACTCTTCTTTATTTGAAGTTACTATAATGATGTTAAAAGTTTAATAACTTAAGTACTTGTCAATAATAATAAGGCTAAAACATTTCTAAGTATACCATGCCAAAAAGTGATATAGAAACAAAAACAAAATTTCTCAATGCCCTAAGAAAAACACTTGATTTTCCTTAATAAGGTGGTAAACATACTTTTAAGTTTGTTACTCTTTCCATGTATGGAATAAATCCTCTTTAGACTTCCTTACCATATCAAGTGATGGCTGTATTCATTTTAAGAAGAATAAATATAGATTTAAAAATGTATAGGTCTTTCGATTTCGAACATATGCTGAAAATATTTTAAGCTGGGAACTTACACTTTATTTCCTATAGTTCATGAATCCACCCTACTATTGTTCATGAATCCACCCTACTATAGTTCATGAATCCACCCTACTTTAACATAACTACCAAAGCACCACATTACCCTTTTTGGAACAACTTAAACATTTCACTAACTGGAATTCCAAACATATGTCCACTAACAGAATAAATAATGCTGTAATTGATTTACAGACTTTAAAACTGTAATCATCAGTGTAAACTCTCAGTTGGAACTTTAAGGGAATACTTAACAATGATTACAGGAATCACTTTGCTATTAATCTAACTCCTTTACCTTGTAGTCAAACCAGCTAATACAAATGTGTGTTAGGGTAGTGACCACGATAAGCTAATCTACTGGATACTGTGACACATCAAACCAGCTAATACAAATGTTTGTTAGGGTAGTGACCATGATAAGCTAATCTACTGGATACTGTGACACATCAAACCAGCTAATACAAATGTTTGTTAGGGTAGTGACCATGATAAGCTAATCTACTGGATACTGTGACACACCAAACCAGCTAATACAAATGTTTGTTAGGGTAGTGACCATGATAAGCTAATCTACTGGATACTGTGACACACCAAACCAGCTAATACAAATGTGTGTTAGGGCAGTGACCATGATAAGCTAATCTACTGGATACTGTGACACACCAAACCAGCTAATACAAATGTGTGTTAGGGCAGTGACCATGATAAGCTAATCTACTGGATACTGTGACACACCAAACCAGCTAATACAAATGTGTGTTA